TTGAAGTAGAGGCCATCTATTCCAATTTTCTGTAGGACTTTGAACATAAATGAGTGTTGAACTTTGTCAAAAGCCTTTTCTGCATCAAATAACATGATGATGTGGTTTTTAGTTTTTGCTCTATTGATATAGTGTATTACATTGAGAGATTTTCGAATATTGAACCATCCTTGCATCCCTGGGATGAATCCAACCTGGTCATGTTGTATGATCTTGATGATTTGCTGTATTCTATTTGTGAGGATTTTATTGAGGATATTTGCATCTATGTTCATGAGGGAGATTGGACAGTAGTTCTCTTTCTTAGTTGTGTCTTTCCCTGGTTTTGGTATCAGTATAATACTTGCCTCCAGGAGTGATTTTGGGAGGATTGCTTCCTTTTTAATTTCATTAAAGAGTTTGAGGAGTATAGGGACTGCATCTTCTGTACATTTCTTGTAGAATTCAGCTGTGAATCCATCCAGACTTGGACTTTTTTTGTCAGTAGGTTTTTTATTACTTCTCGTATTTCATTGGCTGTTATTGGGCTATTAAGGGTGGCTATATCTTGGCGATTCAGCTTTGGTAATTTGTACCTTTCTAGGAATCTGTCCATTTCTTCTGTGTCTTCTATTCTGTGACAGTAAAGATTCTCAAAGTAGCTATCGATAATCTTTTGAATATCCACTGGGTCTATGGTAATTACACCCTTTTTATTCCTTGTTTTGCATTTGAATTTTTTCTTTCTTCTTTTTGATGAGGTTAGCTAGGGCCTTATCGATTTTATTTAATCTTTCAAAGAACCAGCTTTTTTTCCCGTTAATTCTTTGAACAGTTTTCTTTGTCTCAATTGAATTAATTTCTGTTCTAATCCTTAAGATTTCTTCCCTTCTTTGGGATGTGGGTTTGACTTGCTCTTACTTTTCATGTTGTTGAAGGTGAAGCATTTAGGGTGTTTTTTTGTTCCCATTCTGTTTTCCTAATGTGTGAGTTCACCGCTATGAATTTCCCTCTGAAAACTGCTATCATCGTATCCCATAAATTACGGTAAGTTGTGCTTGAATTTTCATTGAATTGTACATATTGTTGAATTTCTTGTTTAATTTCATCTGGGACCCATCGTTTGGTGAGTAGGGTTACCTGTAATTTCCATGTATTTAGGGTTTTTTCTCTGGTTTCTTTTGTCATTTATTTCCAGTTTCATTGCACTGTGGTCAGATAATAAGCATGGGATAATTTCTGTTTTCTTAAGCAAGACCTGTGGACCAGTATGTGGTCTATTTTAGAAAATGACCCATGTACAGCTGAGAAAAATGTGTATTCAGCTGTGTTTGGGTGCAACACTCTGTATATGTCCACCAAGTCTATTTGTTTCAAGCTCTGATTCAGTTCTGTTATTTCTTTGCTAGGTTTTTATCTGGTTGACCTGTCTTTTTGGGATAAGGGAGTGTTAAGGTCTCCTGGTAA